GCTATCGGTCAAGGATGATAAAGGTCATCTTAACAACAAGCACTCCTGGTTCTGAATGCATCATGTAGCAGAGACGAAAATACCCTTCCTGAACATTACTAGCCGAAATGCCTTCCCCAGCACTCTCCCCAAGTGTACCTGCCCAGTAACTGGCTCCAGCTGTTGCAGTGTAGCCAGCACAAACACCGCTGTCTTTCCCATGCCTGACTTGGCCTGGCATAGGACATCCATTCCCAGGATGGCCTGAGGGATGCATTCATGCTGGACTAGAAGTAGGGGGAAAAAAAGATAAATTAGTTTCCAGAGAACTCCGCCACCTTTTTCACCAGGCCAAACCCATTTCTCACCACTCAATTCTTAAGTTGTTCTTGTCAATTTCCAGACCCTTTCTACCTCTCTGCCCCCTCAATCAAAGTGATTCCCAAATCAGACCTTCCCAGTTCCTTCTAACATAGCCTTTTCCAGCTCCAGGGCCCAAAGTCCTGCTAGCAATCCTCTTGCATCTACCAACTGGACGCCTTAGGTGCTCCTGATTCTGTCTGAATGTTCCTTCATCTGTAGCAATCCATGAATTTTGAGTGCCTGCCACAGGCCATTTCTCATACTTAGATTATCATGCTTTGGGGCACATAACCCTGCAACAACCTTGAACAAAATGAAGAACTTGGTACATGACCCAAAAGCCAGCCATAAAGGTTTCCAGAGACCAGAGTTGGCCTGGCCCAAGGGTCCAACCAGCTCCTCTCTGGAAATTTTAAATTAAAAGTCAGAGAGACAAAATTAAAAACAGGCAAGAAAAAAAGTCCCTCTAAGTTGCTTTTAGATCACTAGCACTTACATGCTATCATGAATGAAAGACCAACTTATATAAACCTCTTCTATTGCTAAAATAGTTCTTGGTACTTATTTCCTGGTCTATCCTGAATATAAATCTGTATCACCTGAGGGACCATGACCATACTGTTTCCTGTATCCTTAAAGAACCTAATGAATACTCCATGCCCAACACAAAATTTACCTTCTGATGGATGCTCAAAGCCACAGTCAACAATGGCCCGGAGCAACTCTGGCTTGAGCAGGAAGTCACGAAAGCCAGAGCTGTGAATGGAGACGTAGGAGCCCTTGACATCCTTCTTGGCAGGGGCCTCAGCCCCATCTCCCCCAGCTGCTGTCTCCACCTCATCATCTTCATAATCCAAGAGCTCGTTGTCCACATCGTTCTCTGCCATAACTGGGCCGGCAGGGGGAGAAGGGGAGGGGTCTCTGGATGAGTTCACGCAGAATAAGGGAAGACAGAGGAGGAAAGTGGGGGCTTGAGGAACAGTAGAGAAAAAGAAACACACTAGTTTCTGACAGAAGAGCTGGGGGAAAAAAAAAGAGAGAAAACTCATCAGTCATGAGCAGAGCCTTCACCATCTTTTCCATCCCAACACTCTTTTCACCTTCCCTAAACTAGAAAACATTTACCTGGAAAAAAAAATAATAAAGAAGCACAAGACATAAAAGCGAAAGGCAAACATAATACTAGGAATGGGAAAAGTGGGCCCAGGAGAAGTGGTTAGGACGTAAGTTCCCAAAAAGATAGGATCGGAGCAGAAACCGGAAAGTTGGAAGGGCAAAACCGACTTAAAAACTCCTGGTCTGTGACAGTAACGAGGAAAAAAAAATACACGTCTGAAAAACACAGTACTACTAATGACTTAAAATGGAGAATGGAGATGAAAGTGACAAAACGAAAAGTCCTCAACGGAAGACCCTGTGCTTTCCCTATAATCTCAAGGTGTCGACAGCAGCCATCAGTCAAGGGTGATAGATTACGGTCGTCATTACGCAAAGCGCTCACTTTTCAAAATGAAAACATCATGTGGCTGCCATCCACCTCTCGCAGCATTCCAGCCTCCCACTCCTCAATAACCTCCTTCTGGAGCTTAAGAAATCCTTGTGTAATTAATGACGGAGAGAGAGGCCTAGAGAAATGGCTCGGCCGGGAAAAAACCCACTCCTCCATCATACGATGAATAAAATAGAACACAATAATTAAGAAAGATGTATTCTCGTTCCGGCTAACAGAAGCTTTACCAAGTGACCTCCCATCACCGTTATGTTACTCCTAGGTGTAGCTCATTTCCGAAAACACACAACGACACCACTGGTAAACATTTGGAAAACACTCCAGATAATAGTGGGCAATCCGAGATGAGAGAAGTCCAACTAGGCCCACAAGTCGGGGCTCCTTCCATTCCCACCACGATCCGAGGTAAGCGGGAAAGTGAGAAGAGCCCCGCCCTCTGCAAATGCCCAGGACCAGAAGACGCCTAGCGCCGCCTCTCAACTGTCGCTGGGTTCTGAGGTAACTGAGGGTCCCACCGAAAGAGCGAGGAGCAAAGGAAGCACAATGGCGCCGGGGCCACCATCTTGGATTGAGCCCCCCTGGCTTCCCTACCTCCCCCCGAAGTTTCTTGATCTCGAGGGATGCAAGTAATGGAAATAACAACCCAATCAGACTCCAGCGACCAGACCATAGCCTGTACAAGGGTTATCAGGAGGCCGTGCGACAGGATGGCCGCAGAGAAACGCAGATGGAGGCGGATGGTGCCGAAGGCCAAAGCTTACCTGAGCAAGGCGAAGGCGTATGGCGGCGGTAACAGCGACGAAAGAAGGAATCTGCCTTCACTTCCGGTTCCCGGCTTCCCTCTACCCCGGCCTCCCGCCTTACGACCGCGCAGACGTAAGGGACCGGAAGAAGGACCTTCCACGGTTCTATAGTTCCGCGCGTTCCAGGGTTGCCTTTAGAAAATGCCTGTGTGGAAAAGAAAATTTTTTTTAAGCCACTTCTAACTCCTCCACTACTACTAGTAACAAAAGGCATAAAGGAAGCTAGCATCCTCCCCATTGTTATCTTTTTTCTCTTGTCCTGCTCTTTTCCACGCCTCTCTCTTCATTTACGTTCTTGCCGCACAGGCCTTCTCTCTGGGCACCCCTCCGTGGGCGCAGGAGGCCCCAAGGTGGCGGGATTTCGAGTTCCCACGGGGTCCTTGGCCCGATAGTCAAGGTGACCTGGGGACGTTGGCACTGGAGCTAGGGAACGACCAGCCCCAGCTGTGGGAAGTGAGTCGTGCTCACGAGTCCTACCTCTACCCTTTCACCAGCCCTGGAGCCGGTGGACGGCATTTGCCTAATGTTGGCCGATGTAGCTGATGCCTTAAGGGCCCTGAGGTTCGTGGGCGTGGGCTGGAATCAGGAAGGGGTTCTGAATCCACTGAGTGGGGGACCCAAATGTTAACGATAAACGCTAGAGCTTGAGAGTTAAATAACTTTTTATAAGTGTTGTTAATTCTACCGGAATGTGCTTAGCCCTGCCCCCAATAGCCCCTTGGTTCAGCCTGGATTTTTTTTTCCTGAATGAAACATTTGATATCTCTCACCCCGCTTTTGTATGCTACAGAAGTCAGATGTGACTTAACAAAACTGACAACAGACGTTTGGCCCCTTACCTGTTATCACACTTAACCATTTAACACCAAGGTGTACCATTATTCCCATGCTATATCAAGCAAACAGATTCAGAGAAATAAAGCAACATGTCCAAAGTAATACAGCTAGTAAGGTGACAGAGCCAGGATGTAAACACCTCTCTATTCTCTACTGTATCCTGACTCCCTGCTTAAAGAGTCTGGTTAATAAATACACACTACAGATTACCTCACTGGTTCAAGTGCTTAGTGAAGTAGGCTCGTTTTCTGTGGCCAAAAGAAATAACAGTGATCCAAGGATGATGTTACAGAGTGCAGTTTTTCAAACCCACAATATCAATCTTTTTCAACAGTATTTATCAACTGCCTGTCCTGTGCCAAGTGCTATCCTAAGATCTGGGGACACAGCAGTGAACAGCCCTGTCCTCACAGAGTTCACATAACAGGGGAGACAACACATACACATGTCAAGTATCAATAGGTGCTATGAAGGAAAATAAAGCAAGGTAAGGGGCAGAGTGCTTGTTCCTACACCCCAGCTGTTCTCTACAGTGACCATCTATAGTCCTCAGGTTCACAAAGGAGGAACCACGTGTTTCTCACTTTAGAGAAAAAATAATGTACCATTTGCTTTTGTTTCTCAAAGCTCCAACACTTTTTGGGTGTTTGGGGAATACATAAACAAGGAAAAAGAGTGACTGAAAATGAGAAATGATGAAGCAAAAGGAGGCTGATTCCACCCAGCAATTGATTTGCCCATAATTATTTTATTGACAGTTTTTTATTGTTACAAAGGGAAAGTAAGGTGTTGAGGATGTAGAAAGGAAGGCCATGCACATGAGGGGACACAGCATCACTTTAGATCTCAGGAAGCAGTAATAAGCATCTGATGGGTCTTCGGGGAAACAGGAAAAGGGGGAAATCCAATAAAGAGAAAGACCAACTTAAGAGAGACAATGCAAACATCTTCCTGGAACCACAGAAGAGAGACTAAATGAGGCCATCATTTCATCTATCTTTTCAGGGATAATAAGATCTCTGGGGAAAGAGAGGTGGGAAGAACCAATTTTTTAGAGAATTTCTAGGGTCACAGAATGAATGAGTAGAATTACAAAGCCACAGACAGAAGTGAGAAAACAGCTGTGTTTAGGTTTTGGTAGGTGGGCAGAGAGTAGTAACAATATCACAGGTTTGCCATTTATTGAATCACAGCTACTACATGCTGGAAACCATGCTAGGCTCTTTATAGAATGATTCCTAACCAATGCAACACCCCTGCAAGGTAGGCATTGTTATTATTATTCCAACCTTGCAAAGGACACTGGGGTTACAGTTTAAGTAGCTTGTTCTTGTTGCCCAGCCAGCAAGTGGCAGGGTCAGAAGAGGGACCCGAGCCTGCCAGGCTCTGAAGTCAGAGTGTTTTCACATCCCTACTTCTCCATGCTACAAATTTCACAGAGGGGCTGGGTGAGGGTGACTTGGCAGTTTCCAAGCTCCCAGTGAAAGAACAATAAGGAGATTCAGGTCTGAGCAGGATATTTATAAATTTCACAGGAGAATTATTGGATCCTGCTTCCTAGAATTTCTAGGGAATGCAAGGGAGAGAAAGGATTATGGTGGGAGTTGATTTTGACTCGGGGATTTCTTTGCAGGAGGGAACTAGCAGGAGGAGTCAGGCCCTAGGGTGGGTCCTAGGCAGCAATCCGGTAGTTGGGGTGGACCTGGGGCCTGACGTCACAGACCATGCCAAGAAGCTGGGCCAGGACACGTTCGCGGCTTCTCTGCTGGGAGCTCTGCATGCCCTGCACCTGGCGCCTTGTAGCCTGCTCCACCTCAGCTGACAGATTCCCTTGGGAGCCCATGGCCTGGGGGGTGGGAGAAAGGGTGGAAAAGAGAAAGGAGAAAGCAAAAACAGAGAAAGAAGCATCCACGCATGTGGAGGGAAGGGTCCTGGAGCAAGACCAGGAAGAAAGGCCCTCTCCAAAACCACTCCCATCCGTGGAAATATCTAGACACTGAGGAGACCAACATAATGCCCTCTCCCCAAGACCTGACATGCAGCATCACCCTACAACAGACCGTACCATCCCCACCACCTCACCACCCATGCCCATAAAACTCGGCCCTCCACCCCAAATATCATCATACTCTACAGAGACTGTGGCAATCCCCCCCACTTCCACAAGCTGTACAAGTCCTTCAAAACTCCTAGACGCTCTTACATATCACAAAGCTTGACCAACATCATGGTCTCCATCAGGTCCCCTTCAGCCCTCTACTACCTTATTTTCTTGTGGAATCACCCTGTACACACCTCACCAGATATACCCACCAACTTGCACCCTGGGGTCCCATCCCAGCCTCCCCCGCGACTCACTGCCTGCTGCTTGCTCTGGAATTCCTGCTCTCTCTCTCTGCGGTATTGCTCCACTTCCATCTGTGCCTCCTCCTTTGCCTGCTTCAGACGCCGGGCCTTCCCTGGAGGTAGGAGAAAGGACTGAAAGTGGGGGTAGACACCCCACACACACAAAACGTGAGAGCAGGGGTCAGTCCCTCCCAAAAAGTTAGTGCCTTCTCTCAGCCAGCCAAGAACTAGATTCTGACACCCACCCATTTCTTCCCTCCTAATAAGCGTCCCCAGCCTCCCTCCCCCGGCCCCACCAGCCTTGGGTTATCCTAAGGACTCAAATGTTTGCTGTCCTTCCACCCTCAATTTTCTCTCCAGATTCCTAAGGGAGAAATGAGGAGACTCACTCTTTCTGGCATCTGCCACCTTCTCAGCCGCCCGCTTCTCGGCTTGCAGGAGCTGCTGGATACCCTGGGATTGACTGGCCATTTCTGTCGTCACGACCGATGCCGTTTCGGAAGCTACCAAGGTTCCAGATGGCTCCCCCTTTTCCCCTCCCCCCACACCGCCTCCTCCTCCTCCTCCTCCTCCTCCTCCAGCTGTTTGCTGCAGCCTTCCACTACCCCTGGGTCTTAGTGCTCCCCTTTTCGCTCAGCCTCCTGCACCGGGTGTCTCCCCCAAACTGATCCTGCCATTGATGGCTGGTCCTCCTCTCCCACCTCTCACTATGGCAGTACCCAGAAGGACCGCCTGGGGGCAGCAAAGACCAGGTCCAAAGCTGCCTGCTAACTTCACAGCAGGTGCAGGGCTTTCCCAGTCGGAAGGTCTAGGAATGGGGGCAGGGGCCGAGAGGAGAGGAGTATTTGAGAGAGAAGGAGGCATAGAGGGATTGAGAATGGGGTGAGGAGGTAAGGAAATTATCATGCGTGGTGTGTTGGGAATAGAGTGTGCTGGGCTTCTCTGAATTCTTCCAACTTCTTTTCCTTTTTCTCCCTCCCATTTCCATCTCCTTTTTCTACACCTTTCCCAATTTGAAATTTCTCCATTCACCTCACGTGCTTTGTCCCGCGGTTGTTTTCCTTGTCTTTTGCTTCCTGTGTTTTTCTCTTTTATGATCTGTCCCTTTCTTGGCCTCACTGTGGTTTTGATTTTCATTTTCATTGTGATTTTTATCCTGTCTTTATCTCCCCTGTTTTCTCTCTCTTCTCATCTTTTCGCCTATTACTGAACCATCTCCTCTCTCCTCCCAGTAGGGGGAAGCGGGGTTAAACCTCCAAAGAGCCCTTGCTCTTCCTTTTCCTCGCCTGTCGTCCAGACTTCCGGTTTCAGACGGACCCTTTATCTTAAATTCCCTAGTTTCCCCCCGGAGGCTAAGGCCAAAGAAACACCTCCCGCCCCCTCAGGGAGGAACGGCATCCGGTAACGCGCCTCACAGTTCATTTCCGTCCTTTACCTGCGTTTCGGCTTGCGCCATTTCCGTCAGTCTAGAGTGTCTCCGCCCTTCCCGCCTCCCTTCCTCGGTGCGTCTTAAACACAGGCTTCGGGCCTACTGCTCCGGGGGTACTTAGGGGGCGGGGGGCAGGTCTGATGAGTAACCCCTCCCCCCAGGTCCCAGAGGGAGAAGCCTCTACATCTGTCTGCCGGGTACATTATATTCAATTTCTAGATCATTATTTGAAATTGTGACTTTTTAAAATACAGGTTTCTATTGATAAAAATTTCCCCCATCAGTCTCTATTTGTCTTTATTATATAACAAAGTCCTTTATTAAAAATTTACCTGGACTGATGAGCCTTTAAGTAATCATTTATCCTTTTCTCAAATTTCACATTAAAAAAAAATGTGACCCCCAGCTCCCCTCAAAATTGTTTTCAAACCTATCACCTGGAAAAGGGATGAGGGTTAGGACTGGCCTCATCTCTTGCTGAAAATGTAAGAAGAAATGGGGAACCAAAGGGAGAAACAGAGGGAATGTCAGAGATGGAGGGGGAGAGACCATCCAAGGCTGGGGTCCTGACTGCTGCCTGTTTATCCTTCTTTCTCAGCCCAAGAGTTCCATGGCCTCCACTTCCCGACGCCAACGCCGAGAGCGTCGCTTCCGTCGTTATTTGTCTGCAGGACGGCTGGTCCGGGCCCAAGCCCTCCTCCAGCGACACCCAGGCCTTGATGTAGATGCTGGGCAGCCTCCACCACTGCACCGGGCTTGCGCCCGCCACGATGCCCCTGCCCTGTGCCTGCTTCTTCGGCTTGGGGCTGACCCTGCCCACCAGGACCGCCACGGGGACACAGCGCTGCATGCTGCTGCCCGCCAGGGCCCTGATGGTGAGTCTGCTTCGTGGGGAACAAGGTCATGAGCAACTGGTGGGGTGTGAGATGAAGACCAATGGTTGAAAAATAAGCTAGTTATTTGGTCATGGGACTTATGGAAATAGCTGACCAAGTTGGCTTGTGGCTGTCATTTGTGCCTTTACATTATTGAGCTACCATTGTCTGAAGAGCCCAACATTCCCCAAACGGCAACTAGTATTTAAATTACACATCTCTGTAGATTAGTAGCTACTTTGTCTCTTGACTGGTTGTTTGCCTGTAGTGTGAAAAGCAGGATAGAGGGTACTCTTTGCAGTTACATTGCCTGGGTTCAAATCCCAGCTCCACACTTAATAACTTCTTGGCAAGTTTCTAAACTTGCCTGATGCTTCATTTGCCCATCTGCAAAATTAAATAACAGCAACCATTGCTGTGTGCCAGACACTTCTCACAAAGCAACTCATTTAATCCTCACAACTACCCTATGAAGGTATAAGTACTAACATCATCCCCTATTTCTCAGATGAGGAAACAGCACAGAGAAGTTTAAGTATTTTGCCAAAGTCACACAGCTATTAAGAGCAAGGGTTGTATCCCAGGCAGCCTAACTAGACTGCCTATGCTCTAACCTGTGTGATACTTTATAGAATTATACAGTAATAATGCCTGTGTTCAAAGCACCCATGCTGTGACATATGTTTTGAGAATCAGCTGACACAGTACATAATTAGAGCACTTGGCACATGATAAACACTCTAGATACTGGCCATTGTTTCTGTGGTTATCAACAGACCCATACTCTTTCACCCACAGTTCTGAAACTCAGAAACACTCTGAGAACCAAACATTTTTCATCAGTCTGCCACCAAACTCATTTGGTAACAAAACCTAACATAAACTGAAGCTAGGCTATTTACGATGTTTTTTTCCTACTGATGTCAGTATTCATATGTTTCACTGCAGAAACATTCACGTGTTTGGTTACTGGGGCTACCCAGTCTCTCCCGGGCTACATAATATACAGTGTACAGTTGTCCCTTGGTATCCGAGAGGGATTGGTTCAAGGATCCCCCTCCCAAGATACCAAAATCCACAGATGCTCAAGTCCCTTTTATAAAATGATGTGGTATTTGCGTATAGCCTACAAACCATTTTCCTGTATACTTTAAGTCATCTCTAGATTACTTAAAATACCTAATACAATGTAAATGCTATGTAAATAGTAGCAGGCAAGCAGCAAATTTAAGTTTTGCTTTTTGGAACTTTCTGGAACTTTTTTTTCCTGAATATTTTAGGTCTGGTTGGTTGATTCTGCGGATGCGGAACCTGAGGATATGGAGGGCCAACTATATGTATACTTTCAGATCAACTCTATCAAATCCCCAAAATGTCTGCATTCTGGAAAGCCTTTGATATTGAGGGTTTCAGATGGGGACTTGTTGATACATTAGTGGCAGCGGAGGCAGCTCTGCAGAGGTACAGCCCTCCTAGGAAAATAACAGGTGAAACCCCTTTCCCCTTTTAGAGATTTTCCTTCTATAGTAAGAACATTAGATGAAAACCTTTAGGTTGGGATGAACAACGTGAACTCATTGCTATTATCTATAACCTGATTGCTATTATCATCCCCCAGCTCCCCACGAATCTACAGGAACCTCACCCACATCCCCGAAACCTCCCCCATATAGTCAAAAATCCCCTTTTCTTTAATTCCCCTAACATAAGTGAGATAGGCTGCCTGTTCAGATTTTTTTTTTTTAAACTGAGAACAAAGAGAGGAGGTTTACAAAGCGCAGGCACCTAACTCAACAGTGGACATTGTACATGGCAACAGAGCAGAGTGCCCTGAGGCCAACTTCAGACCCCATCTAAGCTCCAGCTCTGCCACTTATAGGCTGTGTGACAGGGACATGCGGCTTCGCCTCTATGAACCTAATTTGCTTCTCTAAAATGGAGGTTGTGGCGAGTAAGTGAGGCAAGCATTTGGCAGTTCTGGTCCTCACTAGATGATAAGTATTGTTATTTTTATTCTTGTATTATTCAATTAAGGCTTTTTAAGTAACAGAAATGTCTCTTACAGTATGGTAGGCGCTTCCTTCATTGTACTGAATTCTAAGAAGCATGTGAGAATGACATTATGGTTCCATTTACAGATGAGGAAAGCAGGGCCTAGAAGGTTCAGGACCTTGCTGAAACCTCACCTACACTCAGGTCACTCCCAAGCCCTCTCAGACCTTCCTTTCTCCTGGTCCCCTGCCAGCCCTACCACCAGGTGGCCTTCTAACTCCTTGGTAGAAAGGCCTGTCTCTAGAGACCACTCTGCCTTAAAATGCAGATATTTCCTTTCAACAGATGAAATGACCCAGAATCTCCTGGGGGAGGGTAGGTTCCCTTCAGTTCCCATGTTCAAGGGATGTGCCAGTTCACGCTGAATTGACTGGGCTGGGTTGTCACACCTAGTGAGATGCCAGTGAATGGCCACTGCCTTTGAGGCTTTTGGTAACACCTCATGGGGAGGTGGTCTTAGCTGTCAGAGACCCCTGTATAAACACACCTTAGTCCAACAATAGCCATTCTCTACATACAGCAAGAATGAGTGAACATTGAGAAACGGGGTCATTTTCTCAGTCTTTGCAAAAAGAATAAGTCCAAAGCCAGTTTGTGTGTTTGTTTTCTTTTTTTTAATGTAACGTTCACTGCACCTGTGCCAGCACAGTATTAGACATTTCCCATCCTTTACCCACTTTGATCTGCTCAGTAGAAGTAGGCTGTGGCCCTGCTTTGCAGATGACTGAGCTGTCCGGTTTATGTTCTCTTTGCTTTCCAACTTTACGTCCCACGGCGAGCCCACAAACCCGAGACTCCTGCTTCGTAACCCTGTCTTCAGTGACCCCAAGCATGTTTTCAACAAACATGCTTGTTCTTTTATCTGCCTCTTGCCTGTCGCCTTCCTGTCCGCCCTACTAAGTTTTCCACCTTGCTAGATTATTCTCCCTTCACAGCCCAGTGTAAGTCCCCACCTCCTCCTGGAAGCCCTCTCCAACCACCCCGCCCACTGTTACCTTTTCTTCCTGTGTCTCAGTCGTCACTTAATATAAACTTCTGCTCTGGCATTTTTAAAAAGTGTTTTGTACCAATTAGTATGAAATCTCATTAATGTAGAAATCATGTCTCATTAAGGGGAGGAGAAGAACAGTGCTTCCATCACTAAGAAGAAGCACATTTTTACTCCACAAAGCTTTATTTTCACATTTATTTTTCCCAATATAAAAGTACAACATGTTAATTAAAGAACATAAGGGAAAAGTTGATCTCTACTGCTAAATTGGTGGTAAAGTTGGTGTTTCAAATCACTGGAGGGGGTGGTGGTGAACTATTTAATAAACGATACTGGACCATTTGTCTTCTTTGGAGAAAACTAGTCTTACCTTACACCTGACTTAAAAGTAAATTACAGCAGATTTGACACCTATATGTGACAGGAAATGCATGGG